TCGTTGATTCGTACCGTCGTTTCGCGCAGCCGTGAGATTGCAGAGAGGCCACCCAACTGAAAGCCACACCTTGTAGAAAGAATTCTCTTGTCACCGTGCTATCTTTGTTTTTTTCGGCCAATGGACGCGCTTGCCAGCAGCTGCCAGCAACACCCCCCCCCAAAAATCTTTACTTGGTGGACTTTTTATGAAAGCAAGTGCTTTGCGTCACCTATAGTGCCAAAGCCATGGATCCGGAATGCGCGTGCTTCATACCAGGATGCACCAAATGCTTCAATGTTAGTTTTGGGGAGGGGGCGACAAACCAATGCAACTGTTTTTTGGCAGACTGCCCTTGGTGCCAAATCAAGAATTTCGAAGAAAGAGAAAAATTAGCAGGTTCAGGAAGGGCCTTAAGCCCCGATGCAGTTCGCGTTGTGGCGGAAGTTGACCGACAACTTGCAGCTGCTTTGGAAGCTGGCCAGGACAACTACCTCCAGCTTGGGCCTGCTTTCACCAGTTTGCCGACCTGGAAGAGCTCAGGAGGCAGCCGGCGTGACCATTTGGTCGCCTTCCTTTGTGGACGCGGCCCCTACGATGTGCGATCTGCCCGTCAAAAAATTTCAGCTGTCGCTTTCGGAGAGCATTCCATTGCACAGTTTGGGCGAGGTGAAGCGGGGTCAAAAGCGTTCCATGGAGTTTTCCAATTATTCACCCTCCTTGGCCAAGCCAGAGGAGAGCTCTGAGCGCTTGGTGTCACAGGCCCCGAGGAAGGAAGAGGTTGTAGTGGGAAGATTACTTTCCTTCGCACTTGTCCATGGCATCCCAGACAATGCCATGGTCAGCCTCTTTTCGCAACTTCACAACAGTGGGGTGCCAGTGGGTCATAAATTTCACAGCCGAGATGGTATACGAAGATTTGCAGCTTTGACCTGTGCCCGCCAGAACTTGAAGGAACAATTTTTGTTGTCCTCCGCGTCAGACTCATTTTTGATTCTGTGACCTTGCCGGACGGCGTGACTGTATTGATGCTTTTGGTATCTTGGCTGCGATGTCGTGAAAACAACGGGCGCGCTTCCAAAACTCAAACCACCAGGACTTCGATTTGTTTCGTTGGCGGTTTGTAGGGCCGGGCTGTGCTTTCCTTTCTTTTTCTTTTGCGAAAAACCAGCCCATGTTTGAGCGGTGGTCGCCAGATTTCACTGAGGTAGTCTTCACTTCCGTGTCCGGCGACATGGTTTGCTTACCCGTGGATGCCATTCCAATGGAAGATAGCCACGGAGGGCCTGCTACTGCGCAGCTCCTTGACAAAAGTTTGAGGCGACACTTGCTTTCGGATGAGCTTTGCCAGCCCGCTTCAAGAAAGGGCTTGCCGGCCACAGGAGCTTGTCGCCGGGAGCAGTTTTGTGTCGCAATGTGTGTTGACAGAGCTTATTCTGGACGGACGGGGAACAAGGCCGATGCCTTGCTAGGGGAGAAACTTGGGCTGCCACTTCGTGTCGGGGCGGCCGACAACCTTCATTGCTGTAACTCGCTGGGGTCGGTGGCGATGCCGCCGGCCAAGAAAGGAGGGCAAAAGCCAGCGCCCAGAGTGTCCTCAAGTGCTTCTTCCAGTTCAAGCGCAGACAGCAGCAGCAGCAGTGATACAGAATCCTTGCCCGAAGAGACACCAGCTGCATCCGACGGTGGTGGAACGTTGCTGGGCCAGTGGTTCGAGATGGTTCGATGTTTTCGCAGCACCTTTCGGCACGGTATCCCAGGCTCACACTTGGCCAAAGCCTATTCCGAAGAGGGCCTGGCGCGAGTGAGCGTGCAAGGCCCCAGCAAGACTCGCATGATAGTTTTTTCAGCCGGTGTTTTGCAGCAATCCCTCCGCCATTGGAGGGCACGCTACATTGCATGCCTGAAATGGGCCGAGCACCTGGAGACACTGTTGGCGGCAAACACAAGTCGCAAAGATTTGGTCTTGAAGAAAGACAAACTGTCTTCCCTCAAGCGGTCGATGTGCAGCATTGAAGTGCTGTCCGCAGCCTTTTGGTTGCAAGAGGGCGCCTGGTTCCAAAAACCCATCATCAACCCAAGGTCAACCAGTCAGTTTTCAAAGTCACTTCTTGGATTAGGAAAGAGTTCAACATGATCGAGTCGGCTTTGGCAGCAGCAGCAGCAGTAAGCGAGCCATCAACAACTACGGGGACCTTAGCAATCAGAACAAGAGGAGCACCTTTTCGAGCAGCACCTCGCCATTAGGCATCTGTAGTTCGAGCTACTATAGAGAAAATTGATAATAAATGAGGCCGGGGCACAATCAAGTTAGCTTTATTTCCTGACCGTGTCTTGGCGCCGCCGGCTGCCAAGGTTCAGCGGCTGAATTTTGGGCTGCACTTGCGCGGGAGTTTGTCACAAGCATCCGTGGAAGCTCAATTTGCAGCTAAGCCTTTCATGCCCATTTTCTTCCGCCTCACCGTGTGCCGTGAAGTTTTTGGCCGCCTCGGCCTGTCAGAGTCAGAGCTCTTGCTGCACAAGGGCGAGGAGATGGGCCGTGCTAGAGGCCCCTTCGTGGCCATGTTTCGCTGTAGCGTTTGTGGGCTCGTACTCCGAAGTGGTGTGGAAATGCAGAATCACTTGCGAAGCCATGAAGGGGATCCCTCTGCAGCCAGTTTGCGTATTTACCGAAGAGCCCAAACAGAGCCAGAGCAGAGGGCAAGTTCAAAGCCTTCGGCCCAGATGCGAGCTTTGGTTCTCCAAGATGAAGCCGTTTTGAAAGCCCCATCCATCCACACCATTGTGCTGAAGATTCGCCTCCTTCACGGCTTGCTGGAGCACGTGTGTTTCCTTTGCCCCGTTCAAACGAACGACAGGAGACAATGGCTTCGGAAAGGGTTTTTGGCAATTCGGGACTTCGTGGCCTTGCCGTCGCTTTCATTGGTGCTTCTCTGTGGCGCATCCTCCCAGAGTTTTGGAGGGCATATTTCTCGTGGACACTGGCCGGGTGTCATGATGGAGCCGTGCTGAGCGGAGTTCTTCATGCCCAGGCTTACTTCCGGAAAAGGTTCTTCAGCTTCGGCCAAGTCGTTCGGGACAGTCACGGTACACATATGCCGTTGAGTGTCCGAGAGCGAGAGGCGGTGTGTGTCATGCGGTGGCTCCCAGAATTGCTTCAGGTGGGCGACCTCCCCAGGATTGATGAATGGGAGCACCTCAGAACCTTGGGTGAGTTGCAGGCGGATATGGCCTTGCTTTCACCTGTTTTGTCGTGGGCCTCCCGATGCTACCGATGTTTCGCTGGCCTTCGCAAGACAGCGTCTACTTCCAGTATCTTTTGCTTGTCCGCGCCTGGCATGCCCGACTTCGAGAAGATGTGGAGCTGCAGGGTTTGGTTTGGGAGCGCTCGAAAGGAACCACGACTTTCTCTTGGCCTTTGGTCAGCAATTCCCGGCTAACACTCACACAGTTGGTAAAACTTGTGGGCGTCCCCTTCGTCCTCAATGTTCTGGCCTGTTTTAGGATCAGAATCCTGAATGATCTTTTGCGCAAAAATGATTTTAGGATGAGGATCCTAAAACAAACGAGAGGGGCGCTCTACCTCTACCCGATTCGGTTTCTTCTTGATTTAGGTTTCGGCTGGTCAGGGCAAGCTCACGCGGTTTGTGAGGCAAAACTTCTGGCGGGCGGCCCGCACTCTTGAGGCCATGCAGCCGGTGGGATGCGAAGCTGCCTGGATGCTCTTTCACGCGTTTGGAAGTTACGGTGTTGCTTGGGTGGCTGCTTAATGAGAAGACATGGAAAGGCATTTTATTGTGGCGGTTTTGGGACTGCATCTTGATACTTTGTGGAACGCCTGGTTATTTTGGCACCTTGATTTTTGGCTCTTGATGTTTTGCTTGTCATTTCATAGGGCAGGTTCTTCCACTGGTCCATCAGCATACCTGGATCTGGTTGACACCGAGTCATTCGGTATACTTTCGCGTGGCTCGACCCAGGAAAGCGAAGCGCCGGCAGAGTCGATGGCCAGCGTTCTGAAGCGGTTTTGCGGCGTGAACCTTCCCATGCGACTTCGAAGAATTGAGATCCCCCATAACCGGAAACTATCTCGCGCACCCTGTCAATTTTTGAAGTCCCTTGCAGTAGACGATTCCCTTTTCCAAGATGGCTCCTTTACTTGCCCTCAATACACTGTTATTGCTGCCAATGAGGGTAGCCACGACACAGTCAAATTTAGATACCCAGCCGGAGGTTTATACTATTTTTTCCTTTGTCCTGGTATCAGCCAATCCTTTTCCTGTTGATGCACGCACTAAACAGAAAACTCATTTTGGTTTCGATTTGTCTCTCTCACATCCTGCCACGCGAGGGCCGTTAGATTTTTATGCCCCCCTCTTTTTCTTTCCTCAGCCCACCTCTTTTTTGGATGATGGGGATCACTCGTGGTAAATAGTACTTTTGCTGTGGTGGGTGAGCTGGCTGGGCTCGGCCGACCCAAGGCAGAGGGTCTTGGGGAAGACCTACTTGAGCCTCCATGGGCTGAGCGGGGATGGTGCGGATGATTTGTTCATCCAGTAGATTTGGCGGCATATGAACGTCCGATCTTTGCTATTCAAGAAGTGGAAGAGTCGCTTCGGCCTAGGAGGTGGGTCAAAGTCACTCCATACCCACCAGTTGCGACGGCTCACTCGAAAGAGCTTCGTGGCAAAAGTGGGCAGTTGAAGGGCTGGTATGGGACAGGATTGTTAAGCCTCGGTTCAACAGGCATGCAGCAGATGTCAATTTCCACAAGTCCGTACATCCGTACATACATACATACATACATACATACATACTACATATCATTACATGGCAGCGGCATAATTACTGGATTTCTAAGCTCCTCTCTCATGACCCCAATGTAGCAATCAATACATCACGGAATTATATACTATAGGAAACTGATGGAAAAAGAGGACACACCAAGAATGCGTTTGAGTCCCACTACCATCCCCTCCTTTCATGCCTCTCCCACTGGAGCCTGTTGGGCGCCCGCCCAGGTGGCGTTTCAGGCCCGGATTGGCGATGGCCGCCAGTGGTCGGTGGGGGCGCCTGTTCGCGGACCACATATCGTGCGCGGGCTGCGCGTCGCGAAGCGACCGGGACCATTCGCCGTGTTTGGACGAAAGTGGAAAGAACGAACACCTGGGATGACCGCTCCACTTCACGAGACTGGCATTCAGTAATAAACCCAGTAGTATGGTGCAATCCTCAAAAACGGACGTTTTCAAGGCCACTTGTACCCTTCCAAAGGCTTCCAAAACCAGGTTGACTGGACGGGAAGACGAGGGTCGTCTTCCAGATGCGTGAGACCTGCGAGATGATGAAGTAGAGACTTCATGTGGCCAGAATGGGTTTAAGGGAACATCTACAGGACACCCATCGTTTGGGGGGGTTTTCAACCCATGCTGGCTTTCCCTTTCACCAATCCATTGATCATCACCATTCACACACCATCTACTTGACCCATGTACTTGAAGTTATGAGAAGTGACTTTCTGGCACCAGATGATATGGCACCAGATGGCACCAGATGCCAATCCCTTGTGTGTTGGAAGAAGAGTTTTCCAGTCCTTTTGGAACCAAATAGCTTCTTGTTCCTAGTATAGTAAGGCCAGCTTCGCCCCGTTCGGTTCGCGTCCGATCGCTCCGGACGAAGTCGTCGCGATGCCCGACATGCTCGTCTCGGCCTGGTCACGTCCGTTCGAACGCTCCAGGCCTGGTCGCCGGCCTCCGATCTGCTGGGCCTTCGGATCGCTCCACCGGTACCAGATCGCGGCGTGCGACGCCCAGAGCCGCGCTGCTCGCCGCGCGAGTCGCGGAGACCGTGCACCGGGGGCCCCCACCGGCTGCAGGAGTTGACCGTGCAGGAGCTGGCGAAAGGGGTGGTCGAGGTGCGCTGGCCAAAAGGTGAATGAGAAGAAAATTTGAGATACGAAGAGGATCGAAGAGGGAGATGGCAAGCGGATGTCTGCAGTGTTCAAGTCTTTTGATTTTTTGCTGGATGGACCTGTTTCACGCAGGTACTTTGGAGCAAGTTCCGACGCTTGGAAGGTTCCTTGATTCACGGGGTGATGCGTATGATGATCATACTGAATCATACTGGATCAGATTGATCATGGTTGAGAGCAGACTGCACTGTATCATACTGGATCAACACATGGCTTGTCCCTGCAGCGCAGTAGCCGTCATTCGGGACCGAGCCCACACACACTGAATGCACCGTGTCGCCGGGGTGTTCCATTGCCAGGGCTTGAGGAGGTTCACTACGAGGCCGATGGATTTGAGGAAGAAATGGATGCAACTTGATGTAGCACATGTAGCACGATGTAAGAGTAGTATAACACCGAGGTGTGTATGTGTATGTTTTTTTGCACATTGTACACTGTGTCTAGTCGATCTAGTATGAAAGCCCTAAAGGATCCTACAGGCCTATAGGTAACTGTAGCACTGTAGGCAATTATTCTTACTTCGATGGAGCAGGCGTTTAGTTGTTTGGGTGGCGGGAAGTTACTGAACCATAATGCAGAAGGATCAGGAGATGCCATTATAGTTACATTACATTTGCTTCATGCGGATTATTGATCCTGGAGTACCAGTACCAAGTGATCTTCTGCGTGACAGGCAAAGCTCCAAACTTGATTCCCCTAGCTTTGGCTTTCAATCAGGAACAAGTAGCAGGAACCATCGCACACGAACCCTTGCAGACATGTAGTGCGCAATAGGGTAGTTTACCTTGCGGGTCAAGCACCTGGTTATCGGGTCGGTAGGGCTGGACGCGAAGACGACGCACCTCCGCCGGCGCAATTGCCTAACAAGTGCATCTCAGTTGGCAGGTCACCGCCACTTGCGCGGGCTTTCTTCAGGCGCTCGGGGCGCCAGGGCCATTGATCTTCTGGAGCTTCGCACTGTTTGGAGTCGCTCCAAGGAAAGGGTTTGCCTGCTGTCGGAGACAGAGGCAACCCACTCGGGCCAGTTGGCAGGCTTGAGGCTTAGAGATCAAAGAGCACCTGGAATCGGTGATGAGAAAGAAACATGAGGCCTTCAACTATACACAGCAGACATACTGCAGACTACTTCGGCTGCAGACTGCAATTGGATTTCCCTTTTGCTCCAACGTATTCGTTCGCCGTTCCCAGCTCCGCTCCGCATGGGCGGAGACGCTGGCTCAGGCTCGTGCCGGGCCGTGTTCGAGCGACTGGTTCCTGACACGGACTATGCGACGGGCTGAGTGGTGGGGAAGACGGAAAGAATGGAATGTCCCAGGTGCCGGTCCCAGGTGCCAAGCATGTGCAAGGTACATGAGGGATTCGGTATTCTAACTCTGTGTTCATGATAGACACCCTGCCACTAAAAGGACAGGCAACACCCTAAACCCTAAACCAGACGGAGCCGCGAGCGATGTGGCCGCCGAAGATGATCCGGTGCATGACTCGGCACGTGGCACATCTCCATGGTTGTTCAGAATGGAACATCCGAGAAGCCCTAGTCCCGCTCCTGGATTGGTCAATGTCCGGTGATTCGTTTCAGCATTCGGATGGTTTGCGCACAACAACGAAACAACTTGAAAGGTGGGCTGGCTTGTCGATGAACAAAACTATTTTTGCAGACACACAGGCTGATGTTCTTTGACTGGTTTGTTTGCTTCAGGCATTCAGGAGGGCTAAATTGGGATCGGCAAAGTTAACCACACACAGTTTCAATGCGTTTTGCCAAACGTGAGAGAGAAAGTTATTCAATGTTATTCACACATGACTTGCCATCTAGCGAATGCAAAGCCAAGACAATCCAACCCGTCCAAGCAACTCAACCACACAAAAACTACCTTTGATGTGCTCAAAGGAGGATGTTAGATGTTAGTACTCTGTCATTTCAGAAACAAACCATTACTTCAGCTAGGACACACTGAAATGAGCAACGTTTGCGCACTTGTTCATATTGTTCACTTTAGAAATAAGATGACATTTCAGCAGTGTTTCTTAAATCTTATAAAATCCCATGTTCTGGGGTGCCTGTTCCGGACTTCCATGGTTTTGGATAGCATCCGATATCAAAGAAGCTCGTTTTGAGCACTTGCACCGTTTCGTTTCCAAAATCATTTGCAGAGGAATTGCAGCGGAACTCGCCCGGACGACTGATATAGGGGTGAACTTCGGACGACTTTGTTTGAGACTTTGGAGATGGCTGATCTGAACAGGTGTCTGATGCACTTGTAGGGGCTCAAGCAAGGCTAATCAAGGTGACTATATAGAGTGTATCCCAGCAGATCCTAGCCATGTTTCAGAAAGGCCTGCAACCTAACCATAATCCACTGTTGCTATGCCATAGACCCAAGGTATGATGGCTGCTTTATGGTTGATATTGGAAGACATGCACGAGACTTGCCCAGGACTTTGTGGTCAAAGGAATCTACCCAAAGCTCAAGCACTTCACACGCTGCGCGGAGGAGTGTTCCGGTATGGCGTGAACATCAGCGTTGGACATTTGAAAACAAACACGCGAATTGATTCCTCTGTATCTTGGTTCAAGCGAGCCAGGCTCATCATGATTCATCCTGACAGATCATGAGACAGCTTCTTCATCACTGGGAATGAAGCAGAACAGTTTCCCCAAACACGCCGAGAGCACAATAGGCCGTGCCTTTAAGTCTGCACAGTATGGACTTGGGCTGCTGTCAAATGCCAGCAAGTCCACCTGTGCCCAAGTTGCATATATAAGTAGAAGTTGCACTTCTTCGTCATTTCTGTGCTTCCTGACTTGAGCTTGCATTGCCTAAATGGAGGACGTTTTGACATTTTTGAGCTCTTTAAACTTTACTGTAAATGGTCTATTTTTGGCAGTATTTGCGCTGGATTTGGTATTTGTTTCTTATATTGCAGTTTATACAGGCTTTGTACGGCACACATGTTCAAAGCTCTTTTCCTGCCCTAAGAATCGATGCTTCGTGGAAGACTCCGTCTTCTGGGATGCAGAGCGTTGTCTCGCCAGTGGCGCCAGACAGGCCAGAGATCCTTTCAGCCTTGTGCTTGCCAAGCTTGCTTCCACATCGCTGATAAGTTAGGTACGTCCAGCGAGAAGATTGTCTACGTGGCCAGAGAGAGGCTGCCGCCGACTGTCAGACTATGCAGCACCGGGCTTTGCCTCAATCATCCAGATTTCTGTGCAAAAAAAGTGAACAAAATTGCCAACTCGACTAGCCACACCTCTTCTTCCACGGAAAACTGAGTGCAGGCAACCAACCAAATACATCCAAATATCACATTTTGTGGACCAGGGGTCCGACCAGATTGTCCGGCTGTCCACAAGATTTGTTTGTTAAGCTGATGTCCAAGTCACCCCAACTCGATTCTGTCCGCTTGCAGGCTCGACGAACTGCTGGACGCGGAAGTGGGCTACTTGAGCAACGTGCCAATACATCCTTTTACTTTGCTGGGAGCGCCCAGTGGTCGGAGATTGTCTGACGATCTTTCGTTCGAAAAGGGAGGCGGACGGGCGAACGATGGCCTGCGTCTTCCCCCGCAGCCGTTGGTTTCGAATGTCGAATCCCCCCAAAGCTTTGGCAATGGTCAAAAGGAGATTCCAGATCTTGCCATCTCGCACATGCCATGTGAGGATTGGGCAAAGTCTATACTTTGGGTCGGTTTTTGCTTGGGTTCAGAATGGAAAGAGGTGCTCTCAGGGCGGACCCTCCCCTGACCCTCCTCTGGGTCGGTCCCGTGCATCTGGTTGGTTGACCTCCCAGGCAGTCCATTCATGTCCATTCCCTTCATTTCAGTCAACAAAGATTGACCCAGTTTGGACCCGGCCATGTGAGTTCCGTCGAGGCAAGAAGTTCTGGGGCTGGGATCTGCTGAGAGCTTCTCGGTGGAATTGGTGGCGTCTCGGATTTCGAAGGACAGGTCTTTTGTTGGAGGTCAAAGTCAAAGCACCCAGAAGAATCCCAAAGAGATAAAGATAGATTTTAAATTTATGTCTGAAGTCTTGAACACCCCCCAATCTCCAGGGTCTGAAGCTTGGACATTGGGGGAGGAACCCCATTTGGATGCCAAAGATCAGCCCCTTGCTCTTCAAGTACTCTTTGTTCTGTGGATCTAGCCGTGGCACATTCTCAGTTCCTTCCTCCCCTCCAATACGAGAAAAGCGATGGCCTCCAACCTAATTTAATAGCAATGGCCTCCAACCTGATAGCGATGGCCTCCAACCGAATAGCAATGGCCTCCAACCTGATAGCGATGGCCTCCAACCTAATAGCGATGGCCTCCAACCTGATAGCGATGGCCTCCAACCTAATAGC